TCCAGAAATTGATGATTCCAATAGCCAGTCGGACTGGTACCAATTTTTTAATAATGTGGGTCTAGACCTCCTTAAGTTCCTTGTAACCAGGAAAAAAAAATGGATTCACCTGGAAACAGAAATTAATAAGGTAAGAGAAAAACTTAACCCTTTTAAAGGGAAGGAGGAATATATTAAGGAATCAGACAAACTTAAAGCCCACATAGAAGGGGTAGAGAGGGAACAAAAAAGAAAAAAAAGAAAAAAGTACTGTCGGGATCTGAAGAATTATCAGGACCAGAGTGTCTTTAAATGGCAAAGTAAAAAAGATGATAACCTGACTGATTCTAACACTAATCAACAGGTCACCACCCATTTCTCTAAGGTTCCACATAACCGTAACAATGGTTATTATAATTCCCCGGCTAGACCCCACAAACAACCCTCTAAAAGGACCAGATTCAATTCCAATCACAATGGAATACCGGTGCATAATAGATTTGAACCACTGTATGACCTCATGATGACAATATAGGGTCGAGGGACTACAGAGGATTCCATGAACAACACTCATGGAGAGACCACCGTCCATATGTCATGGAAATTTTGTATTGGTTGAACTTTAAATGTGTCATATATGAGTGTTATTCATATGTCTCTCGTGTGGCTCAATTAACCGTTTCAATACCGTGCAATTTTACACCTTCCTGCCCAGGCCATTTTTCAGGTTTCAGCGCTCTCACACTTTGAATGACAATTGCGCGGTCATACAACATTGTACCCAAACTAAAATTTTATCATTTTCTTCACACAACTAGAGCTTTCTTTTGGTGGTATTTAATCACCTCTGGGGTTTTTATTTTTTGCTAAATTAACAAAAAAAGACCAAAAATTTTGAAAAAAAAACACATTTTTCTTTGTTCCTGTTATAAAAGTTTACAAATAAATAATTGTTCTTCATAAATTTAGGCCGAGATGTATTCTGCTACATGTCTTTGGTGAAAATAACCCAAATTAGGATGTATTTTTTAGTTTGTAGAAAAGTTATAGAGTTCACAAACTATGGTATAGATCTGAAAATTGATCAATCCTGAAGTACTGACAGCCAATCTAATTTCTTGAGGTCCAAGAATGTCAGAATAGTACAGATATCCCAAAATGACCCCTTTTTGCAGAGTAGACAGTCCGACGTACTTCATAAGAGGCATGGTGAGTTTTTCTGAAGTTGTATTTTTTTGTCATATTTTTTCGGAAAATGAAAAAAATTAAAAAAATTATTTTCACTATTTGTTTTTTACATACTGTCACCAGTGCAGTACAGCATCATCATATAACTGGCATGGCGGTGAACAGGGACACTGGTGACAGTATGAAAAAAAAATATATACATATATATTTTTTTTTTTAATTTTTTTACATTTTTTTATTATATTTAATTTTTTATTACATTTTTTTAAATTTTTTTAAGATTTTTTTTTCATATTTTACTATGACCAAAGTAGTACAATGTTACCATAGTAACATTGTACTACTTTGGGGAAGTGATCAGTATTTTTTTTTTTTTACACAATTTGCTTATAGCAAAGAATTACTTTGCTATAAGCAAGCATTTACCTGAATGAAATCGATTCATTCAGCTTTTTTTTTTTTTTTTTTTTTGTGCTTAGCTGTGATTTGGTCACAGCTAATCACATGACATGTGCATGTGATTAGCTGTGACCATTCACAGCTAGGCACTAGTATACAATGGATGGCATCATGAATGAAGCCATCCATTGTATACAACTGTCATGTGACCTGCTGTGATTGGTCACAGCAGGTCACATGGTACCAGCAACAGGAGCTGGTACTTAAATCTGTCATCGGCCGTGTCCGAGGTGCACGGCCGGTGACAGATCGCACTGCTGCGCCGTTCTACATTAGCGCAAACGGCGCATGTGCGGGAGCACGCCAAATGGCGTGCACCCGGAATGCAGGGACACATTTGAAGCCGCCAAACGGCCATTGGCCGGGCGGCTAATGGTTAAAGCTCTGAAGGCTGCAATTGGGTCATGCGCATGTACAATGTATGTATTACAGTACTCAGCTCGGTAATGGATGAGATGGCAGATCTGCGCTTATAGACCGGCGTGTATACCACCACGGCATTCGATGCGAATGCCGCCGGCGGTAGGTCGCGGGCCGGTATCCACATATCAGCAGCATAGTACCACATGGACTTCATAACGCAAGGTGCCAAGCGGTGTGAACTCCGCGTGTAGGCTTATGCATATCTTACAACCCATTACCAACCTGAAACTGTATCTGGATGGATGTGTTTTAATAAAGATCGTATCGGGCCCATCCAGGTACAGACTGGTGTTTAGCCTGGGGGGATGCTTGTACAGAGAATGAACATACTGCTAGGAGCTGGGACAGGAAATATGCTCTCCATAGAGGGCTCATGGGGGGAAGGGGAGGAAGTCTGCTGACCTCAGAGGGCTCATGGGGGAGGACCAGTGATAGATAAAAGGAAAGGCTATGCTCCAATCGGAATGTACATCCTGTGTATAGGCACTCCCCATTGCATTGTTCTGTGGGAGGGGATTGACCTTATTCATGTGGGGGGGTGTGTGTGTTTTGTAATAAAAACCAGAGGCTGAGAATGAAAACTTCCTCTATGTGAATTCCAACAGCAACCTAAGAGTGTCGTGTGATCATTCCTGGGTAACGGAGCTCCATCCCCCACATTTCAACAGAGCTAACCCAGTTGGAGGCGCAGTAATCTTGGGGCTAAGCTGCTGCAGTCGTGGTAAGCGAAATTCGCACAGCTTTATGGGGGATTTCTGCGCATCCAACTGCGAGTACTCACGGTAAGGAGAAATTTGTTAAAGCGAATTTCCAAGACACATACAATTCCAAACACAATTATTATAACCACACAGGGACCTCTTCCCCTAGGAATTATAGGAGTAATGAGTATGCACCTTATAGGTCTCCTGCACCTAAAAGGAACATTGCTCAACAGCACCACAGAACCTTTAGAAATGGACCAGAAGTTAGACCTGGCCCCCCTCCACACCAATACGGAATACTTTCAAACATAGTGTTCAACATACGCAGGACCATTTTTTAGGGGATGGGAGGATAAGAAAACGAAGCGAAATGCCAGAGGAAAGAGAGCAGGAAAGAGGGTCAATAGACATGGCCAAAAAGAGGAGAATATAATGGGTAAAGGGATTTGTAACTTAAGTAAGGTAAACCTATCTAAACAGGAACTTTCCTTATTAGACAAAGGCCTGAAATGTGCTCCAAAAAGTAAACCTAATAAATTTCAGGCATATATAGTTATCAACAAGTTCACTAGGCAACTATCTATTAAAAGATACTTTGCCAATAACCCCATTACCTATACCAATAACCAAGAAAACTGTTCTAACCTTAGGAACGCCTCAACCTTCAATCCACCCCCCCAAACCAACTCATGTGTAAACATGTTTAAGGAATTAGTCCTTAGGGATTTACAAACTCTATCAGTTAAACAGCCCTACAACAACACTTATGTTGATTCAGCCATTAAGTCACTACTTGAACATAAGGACCTTGTTATAAGGCCAGCTGACAAAGGGGGAGGAGTGGTTATTTTAGACAAAACCAAATATATGAAGGAGGTACACAATATACTCAGTGATACCAACACCTATTTACTACCTAAAAGAGATCCCCTTATAGGATACAAACGGAATCTTAAAGCTATTATTAACAAAGGGTATGACCTCAAAGTCATAAACAAGAAAAGAAAAAAAATTTTTTATGTCCGGTAGCATCTAGGCTACCAGTGTTCTACTGCTTGCCAAAAATTCACAAGAATCCCACTAAACCATCTGGGAGACCTATTGTTAGTGGGATCGGGTCCTTGTGCTCCAGAGCTGGAGAGTATATTGATTATTTCTTGCAAACTTTGGTTGCCCTTACGCGAGCATATTTAAAAGATATGAAACAGGTACTAAACAATATTAAGGACATAAGAACCACCCACTACTTTTCTGGTAACAGCAGATGTTTCTTCATTGTATAGTAACATCAACCATGCAGATGGCATGGAAGCTGCAGAATTTTATTGAAGCCAAGCTACCAACATTTCTGAAACACATAAAAAAATTTCATTTTAGAGTTATTATAGTTTGCAATGAAGAGTAATTATTCTGGTTTAACAAACAATATTACCTCCAGATAAAAGGCGTAGCCATGGGAGCAAAATTTGCTCCCAGCCTTACCAACCTTTTTATGGCTAGATGGGAGGAGGACATGATTTATGCTAGAGAATGGCCCGAATTATGTTTTTATAGAAGGTATATTGATGATATTCTTCTCCTCTGGCAGGGAGAAGAACAGGCTCTTATCAATTTTTTTAGTACACTAAACAACAATAATTTGAATATTGAACTTTCATATACTTTTAGTACATCAGAAATAAACTTTTTAGACTTGACATTGATGAATATGGATGGCAAAATTTGCACTAAATCATTCTTTAACCACTAGCTTACAGGACACTTATACCCCCTTCCTGCCCAGGCCAATTTCCAGCTTTCAGTGCTGTCACACTTTGAATGACAATTGCGCGGTCATGCAACACTGTACCCATATGAAATTTTTATCATTTTTTTTGTGACAGATAGAGCTTTATTTTGGTGGTATTTAATCACCTCTGGGTTTTTTATTTTTTTCTAAACAAACCAAAAACCACTGAAAATTTTGAAAAAAAAAAGTTATTTCTTAGTTTTTGTTATAAAATTTTGTAAATAAGTGATTTTTCTCCTTCACTGATGTGCGCTAATGAGGCTGCACTGATGGACACTGATAGGTGATACTGATGAGGAGGCACTGGTAGGTGGTGGCACTAATGGGCATTGACAGGCATCACTGATGGGCACTGAAAGGCAGCACTGATACATGGCACTGATATATGGCACTGATAGGTGGCACTGACTGGCACTGATAGGCGGCACTGACTGGCACTGTTAGGCGGCACTGACTGGCACTGTTAGGTGGCACTGACGGGCACTGATCGGCGGCACTGTTGCGCACTGATAGGCAGCACTGACTGGCACTGATAGGTGGCACTGATTGGCAGCACTGATAGGTGGCACTGATTGGCATTGATAGGTGGCACTGACTGGCACTGATGGTGACACTGAAAGGCAGCTCAGATGGGCACTGATATGTGGCATTGATGTGCACTGGTAGGCACTGATATGTGGCATTGATGAGGCACTGATGAGCACTGACATAGGGCACTGATGGACCCTGACAGGTGGCACTGCTGGGGCTACACTGATCATCAGGGCACACTGATCATCAGTGCCCTGATGATCAGTGTACATGTCCCCTCCGCGGAAAGCTGATTACCGGCTCTCCGCTCCTCACAAGCTGTCAGCGTGACAGCTCGAGAGGAGAGAAATGCCGATAACCGGCATTTCCCTGTTTACATGTGATCAGCTGTGATTGGACACAGCTGATCACATGACCGAGCCGACATATTCGGCTCTTTCCGTGATTGGTGATCCGCTGTGTCCGAGGGACACAGCGCATCACCGCGCTGCGCACTCCCTGAGCATGCGCAGTGAGACTGGGAGGACATCATATGACGTCCTCCCAGAACGAAAGAACCACCTTGCACCCGTCATATTACTATATGGCAGGCGGGAGGTGGTTAAAGACACGGACCGGAATAGTTACTTTCCGGTCGACAGTTGACATCATCCTATGTGGCTTTCCAATATATCAAAAGGCCAGTTTTTTGTGCATCAGGAGAAACTGCTCTGATTTGAATACTTACCACATTCAAGCTAATGTCTTGAAATCATGCTTCATAGAAAAAGGTTATAAAGAGGAGACATTAGCTACATCCTTACTAGAAGTGGCCAACGTGAACAGAGATCAAATCCTAGAGCCTAAGTCTAAAAAGGAACACAAGTTGTTTTGTCCGTTTATCACAACGTTCTCCATCCAACATAGAGCCATCAGGAATATTATTAATAAAAATTGGAATGTCCTGGGAGTGCGCATGCGCAGCCGGCGGGGACGGACATTTCCCGATAGAGCTCTGTCTCCCCGTCGGGTGACAGAGCTGACAAGCCGTGGATCCCGGCCCGCACAGCAGCTTAGGAGGATCCGGTCTCCAGGGCGGACCCCCCCGACACGGCTAGGTCGGCAGCCTGCAGAACGTGGATATAGAGCAGAAGCTCCATCCCCATAGCACACTTTGCAAAGGCCCACCCACAGATCCGAGCTGAGGCACAGAGAGAGAAAGGGGCTCCGATCCCGATGCCCCCCCTGGCAAGGTCCACCATGGTTAAGGGAGCACCCCACCACCAGGCTCCCCCACCTAATAAGTCAATTAAAGAGGCTTTGGCAAAGGCCTCATCAAAGATGGCCACCGCCCCAGCACATGGCAACAAGCAGGCTATAAAGGCATACACAGCCCTGCAGGATACACAGCCCAGCCATCCCTGCGCATCGGAGGGTGAGTCTGATATTGAACCAGACACCCCCACACACGCTTCAACACCTGACCTTACACCCCCTGACCTATTAGCATGCTTTGAAAAGATGTTGCATAAAGCTTTGACTAGGACAACCCACTGCTGATCTAGAACAGAGAGTAGAAGGCCTTGATGCCTCGCTTCAGATACATAAGGATGACCTTGACCTCCTGCGTGACGAAAACGCAACACTGCTAACACGAATGGAGGACTTTGAAAACCGAGCAAGGTGCTCAAATTTAAGAATCCGCGGCCTCCCAGAATCGATCGTCGATGTCCAATCAACCGTAACAGCTCTATTTCAAGAGCTCGCCCCAGCTATTCCAATTGAACGCTTAGAAATGGATAGAGTTCATAGGGCACTAGCTCCACGACGCACTAAAGGCCCCACCACGTGACATTATAGCCAAGCTCCACTTTTTCCGCACTAAAGAGCAACTCCTACAAGCAGCCCAAAATGCGGAATCCTTACAGTTTCAAGGTCACACCTACCAACTATTTCAAGACCTCTGCCCCACAACTATCGCCAAACGCAGGGCTATGAAACCCCACCTGCAAGTACTTCAACAACACGGTGCAAGTAGGTAGGTGGTCTTTTTCCTTTTCCTTGGGGGCCCCCTCAAGATACCAACGGTCACACCTGGACACAGCTACGAGATCTCGGAAAGTGAATGCACTCAAATCACCTCAGTTGCGATTGCAAACACTTCAGTTTTATTGGCATAACATCAGGGTTATTATACTGTAGTCTTTACACAAACACACCCTCAGACCTTCCAATCAAATACATGTACATTGTTTTACCTTAACTCAACAATTATTTGTATGAGGTTTGCATTTTCACTCTTCTGCTTTATCTATCATACCATATCTCCTCTAAAGCCCAGACCATGGCTTTAATCTGACCCAACACCCAAGACCATGGCTGTAATCTGACCTAACACCCAAGTTGTGGTTAAAACTTTTCAGAAGTGAGAGTAAACCTTATCTGCTTTTTTGTAAGGTTTGCAAAAACACTCATTTCTACATGAAGCTGACATAGACAGTTTTGTTAGTGTGCACATATCTCATATATGTATGTTAAACTAGCATCTTGTATTAGTGTATACAAAATGGATTCAGTTATATTCCATTTAATCCTTTCACACGGTATACCGTATAAATGGAGCTTCCCCTTCGCAGTGCGTTTCCGATACCAAACCCAAAACTTCACCTGTAAGACTCCTGAAGACCTACTGGACACCCTGCAGAACCTGCAACTACACTCCCCAGCAACACCATCAGAGAGTTCTAAACGGAGGTCTACATCCTGCTCACCACGGAAATCCTATCCCCCACGCTCTACCGATGGTCAACTCAGCATCCACAAACGAGGGCGTTTCTCATCACCAGGCCCATCTCCACAAGACACCATGGACTGAACTGCGTCCACCAACTCTTTTTCTACCACATACACCAGACTGTGTACCTTTTAATCAGCATTGAAGTTAACACTCATGGTGCCTTTTTTCCCCGCTCCACACTCTGCTGCGGGCGCTGTATACTCTTATGTTAGCCTGCAGGGCTTATTTTGCCCCCCCTTTTTTTTTTTCTTTTTTGATATATGTGCCGGTTTTTGGTTTTCCTACAAGTTGAGGGTTATTTTAACTTTTGTCTCTCCTCTATCTTTGAGAGCCTGTTAAACCTCATATACCGTACATTGCATTACTCTTCCTAGGTTATATCTCAGATTATATACAGAGGCCTCGGCTCTGGCAGCATGGGATACCATGCCTCCCTATCGCTATTGCCCCACCCGTGCAACCAATGCCACCCCCGAGCCTAGGACCCCTGAATTCTTCAGGAATTAATTTACCTGCTCTTCTCCCGGGATCCCACTACAGTATCCTTATCTTAATGCTGTCATCCCCACACTCCGTGTACCTGTGCACTCTCTATTAGCCCCTGTGTTATTGACTATTTAATAGCATTTGGGCTATTGCTGCTACCTGGACCACCCTGATTTAGAGTGTCCCCGGGACCACCTTTCAGGCCTTGAATGGCCCCTTTACACCCTTTTTCTATTACCTTTCCCTAATCCTATCCCCCCTACCTCCTCCCCACATGACTCCATGACCTCACGCAACCTCCTATGCAAACTGGCAATACCATATCACCTAAAATGCTATACACTCTCTACGCTCATTAAATATTCTCTCCCTGAATGTGCAGGATCTCAACATACTACAGAAGTGACTCAGGTGTGGGCGGGGCCTGAGCATGGCGGCAGGGGGAGCTCGATGTAGGAGCTCTTGGATGGAGCTCCGTTGTCTGACCTCCCCAAGCCTCCAGGTTTATCCCCTCAGGCATGTTAAAGCCCTGTGGCGTGGGACTTACCCTGGCCTGACGGCTCCCCGTGGAAGAGAGGTGGATGCCTGCGGGAGGAGAGAGGAGAGCGGCTGGAGACTGGTGGCGAGAGGGTCACTGGATGCTGGGAGACGAAGGAAGCCGGCGCGATCACATGACCGGCCGCAAGGCACCACTGGGAGATCGGGAAGCCGGTCGGCGTCCTGCGGTGAGAGAGCAGCGCCGACCTGTTTGCCGGTGGCCGATTCATTCTCCCCCTATCCCCTGAAAACCCCTCGTGCTTAAAGTAAAGCAGGAGGAGAATTATCGAGACATGGACAAAGGAGAATCGAAGAGACCCTGGGGAGTTCCCCCCCATGAACAAAACCTTAAAAAAACTGAAGAAGAGAGCATTCAGCCGGGTCACAAGAAGAAACATATGAGGAGGGTGAGTGAATATGGCTGAAATTTGACTTACACTAATGTGAAGTATTGTATTGACCCCTAAAGAGAAGCAGGGTGTAAGTGAAAGGGGGGACCCCCGGAGACTGTAAAAAAGGTGGAAGAGGTCTGTGGAAAGAAAAGCCTAAAAAAAACAGTAGGGGGATAGGGCAGAGACTTGAATGTTAAAGAATTATTTTCCCTCCCTACCCACGAATTTATAAAGGTGGATAAAGAAGGACAAGAGCTACAGAGAAAATGAAAAATAAAAATGTAAAAGGAAGTGGGCTTAAAGGGTCCCAGACTGGTACAATCAAAAAATATACCTCCCAAGGAAACGTAACCCCAGAAAGATCCCAGAGCAGGATTGAAAAAGGAGAAGCAGATCTTAGTATGGGAAGTAGCCCTAGAGTATCATTAGGCCTTGATACTAGTAACCAGCAAATATCAGGCAATATAGAGATGGAAAAAGACCTACAAAAACCTAATAAAAAAGAAATGGCAGAAATGTTTAAAGAACTGGAGAAAACAATAAAACAAAAAATGGTAAATATTCGAAGTGATCTGGGACACCTGTTGGAGAGAGTGGAAGAAAACGGAGGAGAAAGTTAAAAGTCAGACCCAGGCTATCTCTGAACTAGAAAAAGAAATAATTAACATAGGGAAAGCCCAAGAAAAATTGTTATATAAGGCTGAGATACAAGAAAATAGAGACAGGAAGAGAAACGTCTTGATACGAGGGGTCCCAGAGAACTCAAAGGGAGAAAATCTGCAAGAGGTGGTTTGTAAAATATTAAATACTATAACAGACAGTACTGAAATGGAAAGGACTAAAATAGAAGGAATCTTTAGAAAAGGAAAAATCCAGAGAAATCTGGGGAAAGAAAGGCCGAGAGATATACTAGTTAAATTTTATGAGCTTCGGGATAAAGAAAAAATCTGGAAGAAGATCAAGGGAAAATCAGTAATTAAGTATGAAGGAGGAGACATACAGATATATGCGGATTTGGCCCCAGAGACTCTGTGGAGAAGGAGAACTTTGAGACCCCTATTGGAAAGGTTGAAAGAACATAATGTGCAATATAGATGGGGGACTCCCGAATGCTTAACAGGATGGAAAAATGGGGTTACAGCATACCTCAGGTTTCCAGAAGATTTGAAAAATTTTTGTGACAGTCTAAAAATACAAAGAATGGAAATCCCTGGCTGGGAAGAAGAACAATGGGAAATTAGAACGAAGAGAAAAGAGGACTGGCAATTTGTGGGGGGGAGGAGGGGAAGGG